CCCAGTTAAGCTGCTTAATGATGATCAAGCAGATCCTAGAGGGAAGCGGTACCATAATACAATGAGAGTTGAAAAGCACAGCTACATGTTTCAACACCTTTTGGATTACAATAATTCGCATGGAAGCCCGTCTTATTCATCAGTACCGCGTCAAGGAAGCTGATCAATGGAACTACCAGTATACAGAAATGCCACTACATAGGTGAAAATAGAACAAACACTACTCATCCCTGAGACTACGTGGTGAATCTGTACACTAGGATAAAAGACTAAGGGAACACTAAGAAATCCGTGCTGCGTTTTCAATGGAGGAACAAGTCATTTCCTTATTCGAATCCCAGGGACATCCTTCAGCCCCATTTTCAGTGCGGTCTTCCGGTATATTGCTGGAGGCTTCTCCAAGCCGATCGAAGCACCAAATCGATTTGCTAAGTCAGCAAGCATGGTTTTATCTCTACCTATGTCAGCAATTGAGTTATAGTACCCAAGCCACGCGTGGTATGCTGCTTCTTTGATGCTCATGTCAACAATTTTTATTGAATCGTCAACCTGCATTGCAAAACGTGAATAAAAGTATGACAATAGCTGAATAAGCTGATCATTGACTATTTAATCACTACAATATAATGGGGCAGCAATTAAACAGTGAACTGAATAGTGTTATGATGGCAAAAACATCAGAAAAGCTGTAGTGGGCACATGTGTAAGTAGCGTTTCAAATGAAGTTCACGTAAGCATTAACGATATATTGCATGATGAGATGATTATAGGACACTAGAGTCTAGTTCCTAAAAGATAACAAGAACACAAGCTAAGTTAGCAATCTGGACCTTTTGTTTCATCTCCTGACCAATGTCTGGTGCTGGACACTTCTCAATTGGGAGATCACCTATCTCATTCAGGAAATATTGTTCCCATGGTGCAAGTAAAAGAATTCCTTTGCCAGATTTACCTTCCCTTCCAGTCCTTCCAAGCCGATGGATGTAATGCTCTCTATCAGGAGGAACACCAACCTAATCCAAGAACCATGTATGTCAGTACTGCAATACTGAAGCACAGAAGCAATGGAATCATGCCACGCAACTGTAAGAGTTAGACGTCAATTCTCCAGTTGCTTAGGCAAATAAATGGTAGTGTCATAAACTTTCTTCAGCTACAATAATCATGAATGGAATTTCACCTGAATCACAAGGGTGACATCTGGATAATTCACCCCATGAGTAGAAACATCTGATGTTACAAGAATTAAGCGATTAGAGCCCCGGAACTCTTCAGATATGCGAGTTCTAAAAAGCTGAGGTTTTCTTGAGTGAATTTCCCTGACATTTAACTTCAAATCTCGAAGCATGATATACATAAATTCAGTCACCATGGCTGTCGTGCAGAAAACAATAACCTGAAATTTGAATATTATTAGTAAAACAACACATTGAAGTTCTTACAACTGGTTGTTTGAAGAAAGTGAGATGCAGGACCTTGTAATCAACTTCACGGTCAATATGCTCTCGAAGTAGGTGATGAACCATATGAAAATGCAGCTCATGTGGTACCACAAGACATGACTGCTGAACCTAAGCCCAACAACAGGAGGTAGAAATGGGTCAACAGCAAACAAAATTATTTTCATACAGAGAATAGAAAAGAAGGCTAACAGAGGACCACAAACTTCTATTTTAAGCTAAACATGATTTACAAATACAACTCATGTATCCCTAAAAAAAGCATGGTGGTATAATATTCAAATGGTCAAACTAAAGAGTGGATAATATATGGCTCCAAACATTTATACGTGTGTATCAAGTATCTTATCAGAATAGTAAGAGAGCCAAATATTTAGAGGAGAAAGAGTATACCTTAGTTTCGTTTTAAAAAATAAAATAAAGAGTATACCTTAGTTGGGGTTTCAACAGCTCCAAGGCCCACTGTGTCAACAAAAACGTGATCCCTCTTTAATACTAGCTGTGAAACTCTTCGAACCTGTCAGTCACAACTAGCAACCATTACTCCCAGTTTTATGATTGTGGGTATTCATTCACAGATATAGTATAATATAACACAGATGGAGTTAGAAAAAAATATACATATATTGGTGCACGAGCTATGCTGATTATTATACTACCTCTTTTGGAATAGTAGCTGAGAAGAGCAATGTTTGTCTTTGACGTGGCAAGCTATCGACGATCTTTTCTATATCTTTACGGAAACCCAAATCTAGCAAATGATCAGCTTCATCCAACACAAGCAATTTCAATCTCATCAAACGAACAGAGAATGATGATTTGTTTTCAATGTGATCCAGCAGTCTACCAGGTGTTGCAACTAAAATCTGGAAGGGAAAGAAGGAAACGGAAAATCGTCAGGCTAAAGTAAGTTTTGTCTTGATCTTCATGTAGGTTGATAAATATGACAAACCTGGCATGGATCAGATTCTAAACGTCTCTGATCAAGCTTGAATCTAGTGCCACCAATAAGAGATTGAACACCAATTCCTTCATGGTACTTCAACAAGACATTTGCTTCAGCTGTAAGCTGAATAGCAAGCTCTCTTGTAGGGCAGAGGACAAGAGCAAATATTGGAGATACTCGCTGATTTGTATTGCTCTTCATAGCATTCAAGACTGATTCAATTGCAGGAAGCTGTTTATCAATCCATTTTGAATAAATTGGTTGAACAATATGAACATCAAAAGAAACATAATTTCTGAAACTAATATAATATATCATGAGTGAACATTACCAGAAAAGCTGCACTTTTGCCGGTTCCAGTTTTGGCCTTGACAAGAACATCTTTACCTGCTTATATATAGTAGTATAGTATAAGTGAGAAATTCGATGACTTCTGTGATAACATGTTCTGATAGTTCAGGCAGAGATATAACGGAATGGTATCATAAGGTCGAAAGTCCTAAAATGAAGAAATACTTAAGTCAAGCAACATGGACCATATGCTTATGCTTAAAGAAGATATCACAATGTACAAACAAAGATTTAATAACCTGACTTCTTGAGAGATGTACATGCATAAGGTTACGAGGGGCAACCTCAACCTCATTCTGACACATATGTTCTCAAATTCTTTTGAATGCAAACACATGTTTTCCTCATATCAGAAAGTTCATTCTTTTTCCATTTTTTTGTGTAAAAGAAATGTCTAGAGAAAGTAAAATAAATATAATACCTTCAAGACAAATAGGAAGAGCTGCCTCTTGCACCACAGTTGTCTGTACATATCCAGCATCATTAAGTGCTTTGACTGTCAGAGGGGAGACACCACACTCATCAAATCTGAAGACAGAAACAACATAACTTGCTGGTTATATGATGCTATCTCTATTTCAAAGTAAGACAGGACATGCAAAATTAATTTTATTAATCACCAATCATTCATTAACCTTGAGTCAAAAAGAAAAGTACCATGATGTGCAGTGATGAGCAATCTATATTGCCTCCACTCTTTGCATTATTGTTAATTTTTATGTTAAAGGTCAGTGTCATGATAAAACGGTACTCCAGAAGCTGAACTAGAAGATTTCATACAATATGATGCACACATTTCGAGAATATTTCATTTCATTGCTTTACCTAAATTTCATGAACCATACAATATGAGGTTCCTAGGCTACACAGCAAATATGAACAATAGCATATAATGAAATATGAGAGTGTGACCTTTTACTGGTAAGCAGAGATTCACCCCTGGACTCGTAACGCCTCCTCTCAGTACCCAAAACCTCTCTATTTCTGATCTCCTCTCGCAGCTCTCGGATTCTACCCGTGAGATCATTGCTTTCCTCCTCGTAAGACTTGAGCACCCGCCTTTCCTTCTTCATATCACAGTTCCTGAGAGCAGCACTGCTCCATCTCCTCCTGATGGCACCTGTGTCCTCAGACTCATCAATTTCTGAATCCTCTTCGCTCGAAGCCCCAAACTTTCCAAACCTCAGATTCCTCTTGCGCGCAGATGCACCCTCGTCATCCTCATCTGACAAATCTGGTCTCCATTTCCTGCCAAATCGCCTCGCAGCCACAGAGTACAGGCTCTCCTGATTAAACAGCACCAATGGTGTCTCCCTCCTTCCATTCCCAACCTCAGTAAGGCCTCTAGCAACCAATGGCCTCAGGTCGACACACGGTTGCCAACTCACGGAGCAAGGAGTCATCACCGAGTAAAACCTCCTGGGATCAACGAAACCGAGTGGCGCCAGATTCCAACGCGGGCACCAGGGCGCCACCGTTCGGTACTCTCTTCTCGGATTGAACGCGGCCAAGGTCGGCCCCTTTCCCCTGTCTAAAGGCTCCCTCCGAGGCCTCGGTTGCTCCACAGTGGCCAGGTCCTCCCAGTCCTCCCAACTCGGTCCTCCGCGGGGCTTCCCAGAGTCCAACTGCTGCTGCCGGTGCTGGACACCCGACGCGATCCCAGTCGGCGGCCGCTTGGCGCGGCGGAGGGGTCTGTCGTCCTCATTCCAGATGTCTTTGGCGCTGGGCCTGCGGAAGCGGTCGGCGAGGGCGCGGATGTGGGCGCGCGATGAGGTGGGCCCCTCGCCCGGCGGAGCCTCCGCGGCGGTGGCGCCCGAGAGGCGGGAGGCGTGGATTTCGGAGCAGAGGCGGGCGAGGTAGAGCTGCTTCTCATGGCGGAGGAGCCCCCGCTGCTTCTGCCGTGCCAGCTTCTCGTGCATCCGCTTGTACTGCCACATAGACAGCCCTCCCGAGAACATGCGCGGTCCACCCCCCATCACCGCCGGCAGCAGCGACGGCGGCGCTGTAGGGTTTATCGCTCGCTGCTGGGTTTTGGCGGCGGCGGCCAAGGCCGCGCAATGCAACAAACTGTGAAGTGAAGAGAGGAGCAGTTAAGTTTCCGCTTTGAGGAGTTGAGGTTTCCGCCTCCGCCACCAGGATACGCATCCTGGGACCCACGGCTCCGCTTCAATCCCTCGCCCTCGCCCTTTGCTTCCCTCCCTCGCAATCTCACGGAGGAGCGAGTTCACAGCAGATCTCTCGAGATGGCGGGGGAGGAGGAGAGGAAGCGGGTGCTGGTGGTGGGCGGCAGCGGCTACCTGGGCCAGCACCTCCTCGCGGCGTCCTCTGCCGCCGACCGCCTCGACGTCGCTTTCACCCACCACAGCCCCGCCCCGCCGCAGCCGCTCCTCGACGCGCTCCCCCTCCGTCCGCGCCTTCCGCGCCGACCTCCGCTCCGGAGACGGCCTCGAGGCGATCTCCGCGTCCTTCGGCCAGGTACAGTACGCGTCCGCATTTCCCACCGCGCGCAACTCTCTGCTTCATACGAACTTCTGCTCTCACTGATTCAGTGATTAACTGATTGGCGATTGCTTGGCTGGACGTTACATGAATCACGAGATCACTACTACATTTCTCCGATAACAGAGCATACTAACCTGTACCTATTATGTTCAGCCACACGTAGTTGTCAACTGTGCTGCGATGTCAGTTCCTCGGGCATGTGAAATGGATCCACCTGCTGCTATGGCTACCAATGTGCCTTCTTTACTTGTGAATTGGTTGCTGAGTTTTGGGAATGACTACTCACTTTTGATTCATCTGTCAACTGATCAAGGTACCGCACTCACAATCCTTGGTGCCATACTCTGCTACTCAGACATTTTTATCTGTGGTGCATACTGCATGTATGTTCATCCTAGACTCAAGTGTACAATGAAATATGCCTCTCTTGTACTGACAGTTTATGAGGGGGTGAAATCCTTCTACAAAGAAGAGGACGAGACAGTGCCGGTGAACATGTACGGAAAATCTAAAGTTGCTGCAGAGAAACTCATTGTTGAGAAATGCTCAAACTATGCGATCTTGAGAAGCAGCATTATCTATGGGCCACAAACAATCTCTCCTGTGGCAAAATCCCTTCCCGTTCAGGTAAAATGCACTGCTCAGCACTCATAAATAGTGTTATGTTCTTCTCCCCAACTATAAGTAAGTAGAGTCGTGTTGCTAATGTTTTAACTAAGAAAAGTACTTGCCATTTGGATGCAGTGGATGGATGGTGTTCTTTCACAAGGCCAGCAGGTTGAGTTCTTCAATGATGAATTCCGGTGCCCTGTCTATGTCAAAGATATGGTGGACGTAATTTTGTCATTGACAAAAACTTGGTTATCTGGTATGAGTTTGACTTGTGCATTTGTGGAACTCAATCAGTAGCAATAATTTTTCTTGTGTTCACTCTATAAACAATTTTAACATGTTCCAGTTCATATATTATAACGCTTCAATATTAGTGTTTTCCTATTAGCAATTGTTTTCCATTGTGCCATGGTGACTGACATCAAAGTGCATGCTGCAGATGGCAAAAAAGTCCAGGTCCTCCTGAATGTTGATGGTCCAGATAGGGTATCAAGACTGCAGATGGCTGAGTCTGTTGCTGTTGTTCGTGGATATAACCCTAGTATAATCAAATCTGTGTCTGCATCATCGGTATTATCTTTCCTCTGGAATGTAGCATTGAAGCATCCATATGATATCTGCCTATTTAGTGTTAACACGAGTACTATTAGAACACATTTATTCAACAAGCATGATGTTTTAGATACGAGTTGGTCTTAACTTTACAACTGAAATAGTATCCAACATTGAGCATTGAGGTCCCTTTAAACATTTTGCTTCCATATGCTTATTTTTCCATCATAATATCTTGTAATGCCCGCATCTACCTGTTGCCCAGGTTAATCGAGGGGTAGCTTCTCCACCAGACATATCCATGGACATCACCAAGCTAACCCAGATTCTTGGTATCAAGCCAATCTCTTTTCAAGATGGAGTCAGAAGTACACTTGATGCAGAAGCCAGTACATGACACTTCCTCAACAGTTTGCTTGAGTTCCTAGGGAGTTGCTTGCATTCAAATACGAAAGTGTGACATAGGAAATCACATTTAATTTGCGAAATTTCAGTAACGGTAAATTTCTGTTGGATCTATGTGAAATATGTAACTTTGTACCTACTAAACACCAATGGCATCATCGGTGTTACTGCCTGATTGTACTGTACCATTATGAATAAAAATGGCATTCATTTTAAATCATTTTTTCCCCAGAAGTATGTAACTGTATTGTGCATGTATATTACAATTTACAACTAATGTTACCCTCATGTATTTTTTTTAGAGTTTTAAGGCTTTGCCCGTCTTAGCATTAAACAAAGACAATAGCATTTAATTACAGCATTCAGGTGGATCTACCCTCATGTATTTTGTTTGTTTGGTATTTTCAGATTTGTTGCTGCCTAATATTTGGCTTTAATTTCTAACCCTGCCTTGGTGAGTTAGTATTCTATATAGTGCATAACCCTGTATTGGATTGAATAGAAGTGCTGGCTTTGCTACTGCATTACCTATAGGGCAAAATATGGGCCTAGGTGACAATAGTTGTCATATTCACACGACCAATTCCCATGAGAGGTGCATTCTGCTTGTGGCCAAAGCAACATGGTTTGACTCAAACCATTGTCCTGTAGAATGACCTATTGGCAAAGCTAAGTACTGTTACTCCAGAGCTAATCAGGCTTTAACATGTATTTTATAGTGGGTTGTAGCACCTGTGGCACTAAAAATTTGCATTGCTTTTGACCCTATTGCAGGGACATGAGAGGGGGATGGGCGAATCACATTCACATGTGCCTAAACCTTACAATAGCTATAGTCAGTACACCAACTCTTTGGCGCAACTCTACCACGACAAGCTTCCTCAGCTCTGCAAGTCTGCAGAAACTGCAAAATCATATGAACATGCATGCATATATTATACGCAGCAAAGATTGAACCACTGAAAAATTGAGCACTCACACTTACTTTTTAAACCATGTTTTCTTCTACCACTTTCTGCACTTTTTAACAGGTCCTGTTGCTGTAGCAAGCCCGTTTTGTGCTGACAGATATTTGTGGCACATCTTCAAAGCATGACGTGCAGACTGCATCACTGGACAACCTTACCAGGTAAGCATACATATTAAACCTGTGTATGGTATGCCTGTAGATTTCCAGTTAATCTCCAGCTAAAGCAGCAAATGCTCATCAAGGGTACTGAATTTGGTTGCTTGATAATAAATTGCCATTAACCCTGCCTGTAGTGAGACACACTATTAAATACTAATGAATAACGCAGCAGCACGGATCGATGCAGAGACACATCAATTAACAATCCAGCACGTTAAATGGGAATCAATATTGTCCTGTCATGATTTTTTTTTCTTCCCCTGTTACCAGATCTGTTGAACCTTGCATCGACTTGACCAAACAGTAGACATAGAAAAATGTAACTGATGTCTTCTCTGCCAGTCTGTAGTCAGCTGCCCATTCCAGCCTCCCTCCTAAAAAGATGTAATTTGGATTTGTATGTTGTCAAACTTTTAAAATTTAATTAAGTTTATAGGAAATATTATTAATGTTTATGACCCTAAATAGTTATATTATGGAAATATATGTCATGATTAAGCTAGTGGCATATTCGGTATCATAAATGTTAGTACTCTTTTGTATAAAATTTTCATCAAATTTAAAACTGTTTGCCTTATCAGAAAGTGACAATTGCTTTTTTTTTTTTTGGGATATTTTGTAGTCACTCTGCTTGTAATTAGAATTTGCAATGCATAGAACTCACTTTGGTCCATCACATTGAATTGCCTCATCCAGGTTCAAGATTCTGCCAAATCAAGACCAGTGCTCAGTAATCTTAAGTACTAATCTAGCAAAACACTGCAGCGTTTGCAGGGGACAAGGCACAAGTGTCGAATGTAAAGCTGACCTTCAGAGGCACAGGTATGGAGGGTCTACACCGAGGGCCTGTTCGGCTGGTATTAAAGCCGGCTGAAGCTGTTTTGTCCTCTGCAAACGCTGCAGTGTTTTGCTAGATTAGTACTTAAGATTACTGAGCACTGGTCTTGATTTGGATTTCCACCAGACGTGGAGCCTAACCGGTTGGTAGGGATACCAATGGTGTTATGTTAGCCTAAGCTACCCTGCGTTGATACTCTAATCCCAGGGCAGCAGGGCTGTTTTGAGGTGAGAGTGAGAGGGAAGCAGAAGCCATCTCACCTCTCAAAGAACAATTGCTTGTAACTGCAACCAAAGTCTGCTGGGGGTACCTTTTCAAAGGACCATTGGTTGCTTGCTTGATCAGGCTAACATAATAGCATGCAAGGAAACTGTCACAGACAGCCAAGAGTGTCAGTCAGTAACCTCTCGGCCTAAGCATTTCTTTATTATGCCACATGAGTTTCATGAATCTTTCCGTATAGGCCTTGGAGAAAGATACCAGAGCATCCTAGTGCCAAATCTCTTCAGAAGACCCTGACAGCAAAACAAAGAGGGCTGGGGGTCTGGGGACACATACTTCGAAGTTACCTAAACCTAACCTAGCACATGGCTACAGCATTGTTACTGTAACAGTGGAAGTCAGACTTGCCTGAACCGAAAGTTTAGGCCGATGGGATACCTGGCACTGTGTCTGACTGTCTGTGTACATACTTCTTCATGTTCATTCAGAAGCCACGATGTATAGGTCCCATATCAAAATATAGCTGCTAAATACATCCATGTCCAAAAAAAAAGAATGTTATTTTAGATTTAGACTAAGTCAAACTTATGTTTGACTAAAATTTATTAATATTTGTATCTCCAAATAGATTTACTGAGATATATTCTATAGTTCATCTAGACATCATAAATATTAGTACCCTTTTTGTATATTTTTTGGAAACTGAAGGAGTAAACTGAAAAAAAAAGAAATCTAGAAAGTAGTAGTGATTTTTTTATATTAGCAAAACAAACGCGCTGTCATCTATCAAGAGTTAACTGGACCATACCATTCATTTAGAGCTCTATTTCTTGTTGCCCGTGTCTGCCCCCGACGGGAACAGGGTATGGACTATGGACCCCCAGCTTAATCCATATTAATACCCTCAGACGGTCAGACTCAGACCCTGGCCTCCCAAACACCTCTCTTTCTCCCTCTCTCTAACATATGCCATGAGGATGTTCTTCCGGCACTTGCTCTCCTGCATCCTCCTGCTCTTGCTAATGTCACACTTGCCAAGCACGATCCTGGGCTTGAGAACATTGAGAGGAGAGGAAGCAAAGAGCGAGTTGCGACGCCATGAACACGAGCTTCCGCCAGCCGTATCTCCTTCAAAAGAGGTGGACAACGACGACGCTGCCGCCGCCAGTAAGTTCACAGTCTCAAGAAGAATGGTTCCTCCAGGTCCAAACCCTCTCCACAACAGATGAGAGGATCGGGGCAGCATATGCTGCTGCTTCTGGTATGGTCTTCAGCCAAGGTAGCTGCTAGCTAGCTCTTCTCATCAGTCTCAGCTACGGGTGTTGTGAGTGGCATGCACTCAACAAAGTACCCTTCACCTCTTCTTCTTTTTAGCCTAGATGTCATATGAATGATACAGATGGATGCATATATAAGTTGAATACTAATTCCCCATGTAATGTGTTTTTGTTGCATTGATTTAATTTATAGGCAGCTTTGTACATAGATCTTTATGATATTAAGGTGCAAAAGTTGTTGTGGTCGATGGATCTAGATTTTGTATGTTTATTTACACATGGTTGTAGGTTGTACTCCTGTGTTAGTTAGAAACAACAGAGATTTCAGTGAGTCATATATGGTTTAGCAGGAGAGGGGTTAAAAAGGGGCTGATTAGACAGTGCAGTACTGTATGTTGGGATGGTTACTTGTTTGTTTTGTTGTGTCTAGGAAAGGAAGGTGTGATCTGTGCTGGTTGTGTTATCTCTTGGTAGTTGAAGGGCTGCCATCTGCAGAAAAAGAAAGAGCCGTCTGCTAGCTCCTCTGGTTAGGCGTTAACAAGTGGTTTTGAGTGGTCTCGCTCAGTCGGATGGAATGGAAGCACAAGAAAGTAACTTGTAAACTCACGCTTGAAGGAAATGGAAACCAGATTACTTTTCATAACGTGTTTATCATCTTTTCAGAGAAGAGAAAGGAGGCTGAGGTTGGTTAGAGAAATTTGAATGTTTTTCAGGCTTCTTTAGCTCATCCTTTAAAGTTTTTCTCCCTATAACATATGCATGGTCTATTAAATATAGACTTTAAAAAAATAAATAATCGTATAGTTTGCGACTAATTTACGAGACGAATCTTTTAAGCCTAATTAGTCCATTACTCGACAATGTGGTGCTAAAGCATATATGTGCTAATAACGGATTAATTAGACTTAATAAATTCATCTCGTAGATTACCGACGGATTCTATAATTAATTAAACTTAATAAATTCGTCTAGCTAATTATTGACGGATTCTATAATTTATTTTTTATTAATATCTAAATACTCTATGCGAGATCCTATATGATACCCACATACTCTAAAACTTTACTGATTTAACGAGGTCTGAGTTGAGTTTGGACAAGCTGGCTACTGGCAGGAGGGAGAAAAGGGAAGTAAAGAGAGTACCAGCAGCATAGTGATTGAGCAGTGATCCTCAGTGAGCAGTATCGGTCAGCGTCTCCCCCGCAGGACGCGCTGATGGGACAGTGAAATTTGGTGCAAATATTGTTTATTTAGTTATCTATCTTTGTTTCTGTTACCCGAGTGGGTTACATTACGCTGTTGAATTTGGACCCATCGATCATGGTCGGCGCGAGATTCGCTTCTTTTTTTTTTCTTTTACAGTGAGTAGTGCACAATATTTCTAGTGGCACTCGATTTGGAACAATATATACAGGAACTTTCTCTGTTTCCTGTTTGTTTTTCTGTGAAAATAGACCAATTTCTATCATTTCAATTTTGAAAGGATCTAGACGTAGCTATGTCAAAGCTGGAGAGAGGAGAGGGAGTGAGATTGGTCAAATTAAGCTCGAGATCCAAGGCAGATATCTACGCCACGTTGGTTTGGACTTGAAAATATCTTTTTATAAGACGTGAATAGTGATTTAAATGTTTTTTTTTAGTCAACCGAACAATCTTGCCATGTTCGTTGGATTTTTGGCTTATAAGCCGTACTTTTTCAGTCAACGAACATTATTTTTTTCTCACACCAAATCAGTCAACTGTACTTTTAGCTATGTCTTATCAGTCAAATAAACTCAAACGAACAGAGACGCTGGTGGTCAGGGCCAATACAGCTAGCTGTGTACTCAGACTACTGTACTGCTAGTTGTACTAAATAAAATCACTACTAGTTGGTGTGGGTACTATTAGCATTGGACAAAAAATGCCCCCACACTCCAATAAAATCACTACTAGTTGGTGTGGGTACTATTAGTATTGGACAAAAAAATGCCCCCACACTCCAACGCGTGAGCATCTGAAGGTGTGTGTGAATCGACAAAGACGACTCTTGTCTCGCTCACCAAACCAGATAGCATCACCGCCGTGCAGCTCATGCGCTTAGTGAAAGTGTCCCTTTTTTGTGTGTTTTTGTTTCCATATGCATTTGAAGAAGTTGGTCCATCCACACACACACACATATATATATATATATATAGACACACACTATAAACATATGAGAAAAAAAATGAAGAATCTAGAAATCTAAAACATCTTTAAACTGTAGACCTCCTCCTCTTTAGCTCTTTGGTATTTAGAAATGTTGTAGGTGGTGGGGCCGTGGGGTTGAGTCCCATCGCTGGATCCGCCCTAAGTAGCTTCATATGAGATGAGAGGCAGCAGCCATCATCTTTCACGGCGTCCAGCCGAACAAGATGTGACGTGCATTGCACGAGCACGAGGGATCGAGCACGTGCGAGGCCTTTTCTGACTGCGATGCGCCGAGGGGGCACAAGCACAATGGCCAAGCCTTTGTTTGTTGGCGCATCGCATCAACCAACAACAACAACAATGCCTGGCTTTGGCAGCAGGAAGAGCAAACTAAACCAGGCAAAGCTAGCTTCATATGAGATGAGAGGCAGCAGCCATCATCTTTCACGGCGTCCAGCCAACAAGATGTTCCCATTGCTTGCGATTGCCACGTGCGCTTTTCCTCTGCGAGGGTGTTTGCCGAGGAGTTACTAAACACAATGGCTAAGCTACTTTGATAGTTTAGCGCATCGCATCAACCAACAACGACAACAATGCCTGGCTTTTTGGCAGCTTTTAGTCATAGCGTGTTGATTAAAAAGTTACTGCCCCCAAGTGAACAAGCACTAAATTTATGCCATGTTTTCCGGGTGCTTGCATTGCCCCTGCTTTTCCTTTCATACGGCCTGTTCGCCCTGTTCGCCGGTTGACTGGGCTGCTTTGATAAGCTTCGGTTTGTTCTTGAGAAAAAACTATTATTGGCCGATATAAGTTCTAATCAAAACCAACATGTCGAACGTGCTGATAGTTTCTTTTCTTTTTTTATTCATAAAAATAAAACAATAGTGAAAGAAAAACAGAGAAGAAATCCGCATCGACCAGCTGCTCATCATACACCAACACCACGGTTCATTTACTTTCTCATTCAAGGCCCAGCTGCACGCAGGCACAACACAGAAATCTGTGCAGGGCAGTGTGCAGTGTGCAGGCAGCGACGTCTCAATCGCCGCTCAACGCAGCTGAGGACTGACAGCCGGCCTGCCTCCCTCCCTCGGTATTTATTTACCATCAGTACTTAACATGAAACAAAAGGTCCTCAGTACCCTGATGCACGAGCATAAGCAATTAACACGTCCCCAGTGCAAGCCAGCGCTGCTAGTGCTTCTGTACCGTCCCTCCTCAACCTCCTCTGCCAGATCAAGTGCTGTTGTTCTTGCACTCAGAAACGGTTACAGGGACTTCAGTATTGCACCAGCATAACCTTACACACTGTCATTCGTTGTGTACATTGGTGCTGGTGCTAATAATGATGGATTGCACAAGACTTATTTGCAAAATTATCAGAGACAACCAATAAGATAATAATTGCTGCAGCAGATTACAGATAAGAATCCCAAATCTGTTTAGTAATACCCAACAGCCGGGGAAGAGTTCAGATATACAGCACAGAGTGTGTGATATACCTTATCTATACCTATCTATCCAGGTGCACCAAGACATTAACAGACAGAAGAAGATCAGAAATATCAATCGGGGCTGGTAGTTTTAACGGTCTCGATCCTATACTACCCATCGTGAAAGAATGTCAGGAGCCTTCAAATCAAATTAAACAGAATATCATTATACGGAGAACTATCATCCAGCGCTAACAACTAATCTCCAGAGCTCCACGTGAATTCACCCTAAAACGTGCATTTTTTTCAAATAAAAGGGAATGGCATTAGCCTCTAATCAGGCAGCACCAACACATAATCTCCAGAGCTCCATGTGAATCAAATCCTCAGATGTGCAGTTTCTAATAAGGGTACTAGTTATAGTCAGCTACCGTCTTGAGGTAATCAGGACGTATGGTAACAAAAGATCAAAACCAGAGAGGGCTCATCCATCTGTTCACTGCACAGTGGAATGATTTGAGTAACGATAATTCAACCTTTATACAAGCAGTTACGAAAACGGATGATGACATTTTCATGAGCAGTTTGGAAGTGATGACTAATGAGGCCACCACCCACCACCCCCACACTAATGATGCCAAACCAAGTCGGCAGATCCCAATGAATTTCTATGTAAGCAGCAACAGGCCACGTTTATGTCTAGTCCCCACCCTGAGTTCAAAGTGATCGCAGATTGGAAGCATTTTTAACATCATCGGTGATCGGCCGATCGGTCATCATCGATTGTGATCGCATTCATTTTTAACACATGACGGTTGAATGGACGAACAGCCGGCACAGCAATTTGATGATGATGGACTGACAGAGTTATGAGAAGCATATAAGTGGTTTTGAGTCGATTCAAACTGAGTGACAGACAGGTTGACACGGGATAGTAGTGGTATTTGACAAGAACGCAACACACGGACTAACTGACTGCACACACACACGGCTTATTTGGCGACGAAGGAAGGCGAGAGAGAGATTTCTAACACATAACAACAGTAGCAGCTAGTAGAAGCAAGGGATGGATCGGTTGGATTCATACGGGCGGCAGGGGCGGCTGCTCTTGCTTCTGGTCGCCCTGAACCTGGTCCTTGGCGGCGGCGGCGACGACGACGGGGAGGGAGGAGTCCGGATCGCGCTTGACGACGTCGTCGTGGCGGGGTGCGGCGGCGAGGATGAGGGGGCGGTCCTTGGCCTCCTCGTGGTCGCGGTCGTCGTCGTCGTCGTCGGTGGAGAGGTTGATGCAGGAGCAGCGCTCGAGGGAGGCGAAGAAGGCGGAGGTGACGCTGGTCCCCACCCAGGTCGCCCAGCTCTCCATGACCGGCGAGGCGAGGCGAGGCGAGGCGATCGATCTGCTGCTAGGGTTACGGTGCGGAGGAGTGGGTCAAACCAAACGCACGCGGAGAGGCAGGCAGCGAGGAAGAGGAAGAAACACGGCTGAGTTGCTTCGACTCGACTCGACTCCACCAGCACAGCACAGCACAGCAGCGGCCAGCGGAGGAGAGTAGTGGCACGCACGCCGGACAGCCCATCAAAAGATACAGGAATGCAAGATCGATCAGAGCCCACCGGACGGCCGGCCTAGCAACGTAGTACGAGTAGCTGCTTTCTGTTTTTTTTTCTTTTTCTTTTTTCTTTTTACTAACAAACATGGTCGTGTGTAGTAAGTAACGGAATTGTTAATTCTAAAAAGTAACGGAATTGTTGCATGGCCATCATGTTTTGCTGTATGCCTCTTGTTTGGATTTCGATTGTGCTGCTCACCATGGCTAAAACACGCACAATTCGAAACATGGTCCCTCGTTGGACTTCGATTCCGCTCGCTTTGAATTGAATTAGAAACATGAAAGAGTGAGGTGCTGTGTGACGAGCTAATGCACACACACAAAAAAAAACGAGCAAGACAAATTTTCTCCTTTCAATGAGTATATATATATCCCCCTTTTCTCTGCCAAAGAAAAATAGCTCCCTTCTTTTTCCGTGACAGGGCCCAACCAGTCAACCACTCCACGGGGGAAGTCACCACAGCTTTCTCAAGAAATCCA